TATTAGCAATAGCAATAGCAATAGTTAAGACTTATATACCGCTTCATAGGGCTTTCAGCCCTCTCTAAGCAGTTTACAGAGTCAGCATATTGCCCCCAACAACAATCCGGGTCCTATTAAACTAGACATACCCAGTTCCATATCTGGATGGATATCCAGATAAAAATACCACTGATTGGAGGGGCATTCCCCTCTAATTTTGTAGGTTTGCTGAAGTCCCGATGTAAAACAAGCAATGGATAATCAGGAGGGGTTTCCCCACCCTCCAGAACGTACAAAAACTGCATCAGACAATTGGGAAAAATGATGAGTTTTCAGCCCAAAACAGCATTCTGCAAATGTTTGTAAACAGTCTAGCTACAAATGCGTCATCGTTATCCTGCGCTGATGTGGAGTCAAAACAAAAACCACATTTGTATAAATGTGAAGCCAGAACTACCAAGAATCCTGATTTGTGGAGACCAATAAACATAGTCAGATAGACTAATCATTCACAAGCCAATCATTCTCTTTGCCTGAGCAAATTGTTGTTAACAAGGATGGGCAACCGGCAAATTGTGTTTACCTCTTTTCCCATCTCTTTTTTATGATTTTGTTGAGACTGTGTTGCTGAAATACAGCAGCAAAACATCTGTATCAATAATTGTGTGGGAGACAGAGAGAAAGAGACAGAGACAGCAACTGTCTGGTCAAAAATAAAAATAACAGATATGTTACATTTTCCCCAGATTTAACACATCTAATTTCTTTTCATCCATGGGATGCCACCCTGCTCCCAAACTGCCATCCTCAGATACCAACTCATTTCAGTTAAAACTAACCAGATCAAATCCAATCTTTATTAGAGTCATAGATCAGCGTAAAAACTAACCAGAAATGTACAAGGCCAAAAACTTAAAAAATCTTCTATCTTGAATAATGGCTTGCTGCATCTCCTGTAACTGGATCTGAGAACGCCAACCCTCGAAGCATTGAAGAAGACAAAAGCTAGGATCTTGATTCAGTTGGTGTATTAACCTGGTAAGGGACTGAGTAGTTCACTATCTTATAGCATTGCGGAACAAGAACAATTAAGCAGGATGCAACAGCGCCCTTTTATTTATACGATTTATAGGCCGCCCAATCCTGAAGGACTCCGGGCTGCCTTTCAGAATGCAGAAGTCAGAATGTGAAATTGGAATTGAACTTGAACAGCAATTTTGGCTTGACATCATGTGTGAATTCTTCCAGACAGTTGGACAAAGACAAATGGTAAATTTGTTGTGAATCTTTATTACTTACAAGTATGGATGCATATGCAAATTGATGTAGATTTTTGGCCGAAAAGTTATTTTGATATTTCCTCAATGTGGTTCATTTTTTTTCTGGATTGTTATGTTCTACAAGAGACGAATAAAAGACTCTCTCGTGTCCAGAATGCTTCTAAGGAACAGTTTTGTCTGCTTTTGGTATGAGAAAAATGTTTTTGTTGGGGTCTAATATGATGCCTGAATAAGGTTACAAATAGCATTTACATGGCTTATGTACTTGAGAGACCGCCTGCTGCCAATTACCTCCACTCGACCGATTAGATCCCACAGATTAGGCCTCCTCCGAATTCCATCCGCCGGTCAGTGTCGACTGGCGACTACCCGGAGGAGAGCCTTCTCGGTGGCTGCTCCGACCCTCTGGAACGAACTCCC